ACCGTAGGCCCTTGGCTTGGACCCTGGTCGGCCGCCCCCGGGTCCGCCAAGGCCTTGAGACCCTCGTCCTTTTTCCAGGGCCAGGAGTGAACTGGACAGAACCTGGATGCACATAGGCATGCACTCATGCCCCTCCGTGTGATCCCCTCGGAGAGGCATCTAGATCTGGGCAGATTCTAGTAATCCAGCAGCTTTCGTGCAGTATGGGGTAGGGCCTGGCTTAGGTCGAGTCGTGCTGGGGAGGCACGCTCTTACCCGTCATTGACTCACCCACCCTGCTGTGTGGTGTCAATAGGGAAGGAATGCGGAAGACCCGCCACATCTAGACCCGGTCGTAGGCCAGTCGAGCGAGCCACGTGTAAGCCTGGGGGTCATTGTGCCCATCACGGGCTGCTGCCAGGGCCGCATGGGCAACCATGCGTAGTTGACGCCGGGCCGCCGCAAGGCGCCCATTAATAAATGATGTAACCCATTGGAGCAAGAATGGTCCTACAAGTAAGAGCAGAAGCAAGGAGCACAGGGGACCTAACAATGGTAAAATATAGGGGAGCAAGCCGTTCCAGGCCCCCAAAAAGGGATTGTCCTGCAGTTCTTTTAGGGCTCATCTTGTTGTTGGGTCTGCGGTTGGCCTCTGGTGGAACAGGCCTGATCTTCAGTCGAGGGACTTGTCGCATGTCAACCTCTTTAGGACCCACAGTGGTTCTCGTCCCGGTTCCTGTGGAAAAACACAAACCGCGCCTCGGTTCCAGCTAACCACCGGATCCGGGCCCATCCATTGTCCTGTCAGGACGTCCTTCCATTTAACCCATCCTTTATTTTTTGGGGATGGGGTACAATGTGCCATAGCTGGGGAGCAGTTTTCACTGTTTAAGTTTAAAAAATTGTATGTGAATAATGCCATAGATAACCACGCCTTTGGAGGCAGGCCTTGGCTTACTCCCCCTTTTTGTTTTTTATTTTTTTATTTTTTTAATTTTTATTATTATTTTTTTTTTATCGGTACCAGGGATCGAACTCGCGATTGCCTGCTTACAAGGCAGGCGCTTATGCCGCTGAGCTAAATCCCCAGCCCCTGTTTCCTCGACCGGCGTTTTTCTCAGCCTGCTCGGCAGAGAACTCTGCGTACCATGCTCGCCAGTCAAGATAACTACCCGAAGGAAGGCATGCCTTGGCCAGCTGCATCCAGTCACCCGGTGTAAGAGGCTGAGAGGCAAGATTCTCTAGCATAGCTATGGCATAAGGAGCTGTGGGCCTGAAGGTCGTGACAGCACTTTTTAATTCTCTAATCTGTTTTATTTCAAACGGTTCCCAAACATTGCGCCCTTGGCCTGGGGCCATTTGCACAGGAAATACTCCATAAGGACCGTAATCTATTCCTTGCATTGATGGATCTCCTCCGGGCCATCGTTCACCCCTCCATAACCGCCCATGAAAATATCGTCCACCCCGCGGCGCGACGTCATAGGACGGCGGTCGCGACAGAGTGGAACGGGGCGTCACTTCCTGTGCCGGCTGAGAGAAGGGAGGGTCCCCTGTAGCGGCCTCTCGGCGGGGAACCGCTTCTGGAAAAGAGCTCCAGGGCGGAGCGGATGGCTCTCTATCTCCTCCCCGCCAGAGAGCGCTCGGGGGTCCTTTCTCCTCTCTCTGCTTTTCTCGGGCGGCGCACGCACACAATTCGTGGCGCAACTCGGCATAGGGGTTTCGGGCCTCTCGGCTTCCTGCCCCACCTTCTAGTTCTTCCTCGCTATCTGAGTCGGAGGACTCCAGAGCTTGGGTGTCCTCTATCTTTTTCTGGATCTTTTCCCCCTGGACGGATCCCTCCCGAGAGCATTTTGATTTTGCCTGCTCAAAAGCCTTGCGTGCATCTATGATTTCCGCGTCTCTAACTGCCGACGGGAACCCCTTTCCCTCCCCTTCAAGGCACGCATGTATCATTTCCCACAGGGGGCGAATAGCCAGCGAAATATCGCCTCCCAATTCCGCCGAGGCGAGGTCCCCGCCTAACTTCTCCCATGACGGCAGGTTTAAATGCCCTGTGGGTAAAAACCAGGGAGCCACCCTATCTACCTCTGCTATGAATAGTTCCAGTGTCTTTTGACCAACCCTGAGGTCTCTAGATTTTAAAAGCTTCTTAAGGGCCTTTACCAAGGGCCGTGCCTCTGTGCTCGGTAAATTACCCATCCTCAACCTCTGAGGGCTGTTACTCACCGCGTGTGACTTAGAGAACCCGTCACCTACGCGTGAGCCTGAGGGGAGTCTAAAAGCCCTGGAGGTGCGCGCCACCCAGAGCCCAGGCTTATCCCCCACTCACCTGTCCGGCAGCACCACGCTGGAGCGTTGCACACCACCGCCGCGTCTCGGGGTTGATCAGTCCCTGTACGGGCCACCAGATGTCGGTGTCGCTCCTGGCCGGCAGGAAAAACACATGACAGATTCTGACGGTGTGCAACCTTGTCTTTATTTGTCTCCGCGTGGGCCCCGCGAGGCCTCTGCTCTGCCACCAGTCCTTTCTTACCGGTGGACTTTCTCTATCTCTCTATCTCCTCCTGCAGGGAGGGTCACATACATATATATATGGACTCATCATCCAATAGGGCAACAGCAAGCAATGCAAGCTGATTGGTCATCGTCATTGGTTGCTAGGTAGACCAATCTATTGCGCGGGCTGTTTAAGTCGCCAGGGCAATCAGGGGGCAGGAAGCAGGCGCCAACTTGGCTCACTCGATGGGAGGGGTAATCTAGCTCGGGCTTTGCTCTTTTCTACAGGCCTCATGTCCGCCAAGTAAGGCGACCGGGCTCGGCCGCGGCTCCCAACAGTTGATTCTTTGGATTGTTTTCTTAGTCTCTATTGCATTGATTTCTGCTCTGATTTTTATAATTTCCTCTCTTCTTTTGGCTTTGGGCTTGACTTGCTCTTCTTTTTCTAGCTGTTTGAGGTATAGCATCAAGTTATTTATTTGTATTCGTTCTGTTTTCCTTATGTGGGAACTCAGTGCAATAAATTTTCCTCTCAGGACGGCTTTCATTGCACCCCACAGATTCCAATAAGTTGTATCTGCATTTTCATTTTCTTTTAGGTATTGTTTAATTTCTTCTTTAATTTCTTCTGTGACCCACTGATTACTCAAGAGTGTCTTATTCAGTTTCCATGTGTTTGTGGGATTTTTGCAGTATCTTTTATCATTAATTTCTAATTTCAGAGCGCTATGATCCGATAACGTGCAAGGGATGATTTCAGCTCTTTTGTACTTGTTTAAATATGTTCTGTGAGCTAATATATGGTCTATTTTAGAAAATGATCCATGTACTGCTGAGAAGAATGTGTATTCTGATGTTGTTGGGTGGAACATTCTGTATATGTCTATCAAACCCATTTGTTCACAGGTATGATTCAGTTCTGTTATTTCTTTGCTCATTTTCTCTCTGGTTGATCTGTCCCTTGGTGTCAATGGCGTATTAAGGTCTCCTGTTACAATTGTGTTACTGATAATTTGAGTTTTCATTTCTGTTAATAATTGTTTTATATAACTGGGTGCTCTGGAGTTTGGTGTGTATATATTTAAGATAGTTATCTCTTCCTCTTGGAGTTTTCCCCTTACGAGTATGTAGTGACCTTCTTTATCCTTTATGGTCATTGTTGATTTAAAGTTCACATTGTCTGCAAACAGAATGGCTACTCCTGCCTTTTTTGGATTCCTGCTGCATGAAGAATTGTTTTCCATCCTTTGACTTTCAGTCTGTGAGTATCCTTCTGGGTTAAATGTGTTTCCTGTAAATAGCATATGGTTGGATTTTGTTTCTTGATCCATTCTGCTAGTCTGTTTCTTTTGATTGGTGCATTGAGACCATTTACATTAATGGTTATTACTGTTAAATGCTGGTTAATTGTAGGAATCTTATCTCTCTGCTGTTGCATCTTTATCTTTCTGTTCTGTTTAATTATTTGCTTTGCTTAGTGGTTTTTTCCTTTGTGTATCTAAACTGACTTTCAATATTTTTTGCAGGGTTGGTTTGGTGTTCATGAAGTTCTTCAGCTGTTCTTTGTCATGGAAGTATCGTATTGCACCATCTATTTTGAATGATAGTTTTGCAGGATATATCAGTCTAGGTTGGAAATCATTTTGCTTTAGGATCTGGAATACTTCACTCCTTGCTCTTCTTGACTTTATTTTTTGTGATGAGAAGTCTGCTGTGATTCTGATAGGTTTTCCTTTATAAGTGATCTGTCTTTTCTCTCTGACAGCTTTTAATAATCTATTCTTGTGTTGGATTTCTGGGATGGTGATTATTATATGCCTGGGTGTAGTTTTATTTTGGTTATGACTATTTGGAGTTCTATATGCTTCACTGATCCTGATGTCAGTTTCTGATCTCATGCTTGGGAAATTTTCAGCTATTACTTCTCTAAATATCCTCTTGATATCCTTTATGTTGTCTCCTTCTTTTTCATTAATCCCTATCATTCTTATGTTATTCTTCTTTGCATCGTCTTGCAGTTGTTGAATTGTTGTTTCCTGATTCCTTGTTATTTTTAAAAGATCTTTCCTTTCCTGTTCACTAGCTGCAATCCTGTCTTCAAGGTCTGAAATTCTATCTTCACTTTCATTAAGGTGGTTTTTACAACTTTCAGTGGAGTTTTGTATTTCCTGTATATCTCTGTGCATCTGCATTATGTATTCTGTTTGTTTCTTATATTGCTCGTCTAGGGATTCTATCTTTTTGTTTAGTTCCTCCAATTTTTTATCTGTGTTTTCTTTAGATATATTTAGAATCTCTTTCATTTCTTTTATCATTTCTTCTTTTATCTGGGAAATTATTTCGAGTTTGAATTTCTTTAAAGCTTCCTGGAGTTGCTTGTCAACTTCAGTAGCTATTGTGTCTGATATATGAGGTGGATGGGATATATTTTCTTCTAAATACATTCCTCCTAGGGTTTCCTGAGATGGGCTGGAGGTTTGAGGTTGTAATTTGGTCTTTTGTTTTGTCATTTTCCTATATTTCTGTGTTTCAAGTGTTATTTGAAAGCTTCCTCAGGATCTGTTGAAAATCCCCTTCTATGTTTGCAGCTACTGAGACTCTGGCACCACGCTACCCCAAGCCATTGGGCCTGCAGAACCAATGGCCCTCCTCTGCTTGTTCAGAACTCCGCAGTTCCAGACAAGCTGGGCCTCAGGGACACTGTGCGCCCACCTGCCCCTTGGAAGCTCCACAATTCTTCAATCGCAGCCGGGTTAGTGTACTCACCACAGGCCGCAGTGCCTCAGGAGCCTGTGATCCCTCCTTGCTTGCAGAGATATCCACAGTCCTCCAGACAAAGGAAGGGGATTCTGCAGGCACTCCAGATCCGCCCAGCTCCTCCTCTGCACACCGATGGCTAGGCGCAGCTGGGCTCGGGGGATAGTGTAGGCCCGCCCACCTGTCGGGAGCTCAGCAGACCTCCAAGTGCAGCCTGGATGGGGAGGTGGATGTAGTGGTCTCTAACCTGCTGCTCCACTTCACTGCACCCAGAAGCCTGGGGGGTCCGGAATAGTCTGAGATTTGTGCAGAGTGTGCTGAGCACTTACCACAGGCCGAGGTGCCTCAGGAACCTGCGATCCCTCCCTGCTTGCAGAGATATTCAGTCCTCCAGACAAAGGAAGGGGCTTCTGCCGGCACTCCAGATCCGCCCAGCTCCTCCTCTGCACCTATGTCTTCCTCTTGAAGTCTTCTCCTAACTGGTATGTAGTGACCTTCCTTATTTCTTTGAATCAGATTTGCCTTGATGTTCATATTATCTGCAAACAGAATAGCTACCCATGTTTTTAGGGGGGGATCCTGTTGCATGGAGTATTCTTTTCCATCCATTGATTTTCAGTCTGTGACTTTTCTTTTTGTTAGATGGGTTTCTTGTATACATCATATGGTTGGATTTTGCTTCTTGATCCATCCTGTCAGTCTGTTTCTTTTAATCGGTTAATTGAGACCATTTACATTAATGGTTACAACTGATATATATTGGTTTACTTTTGATATATTATCTTTCCACTGTTGATTTTTTGCCTTTCCACTCTGTTTGCATTGCTTAGTGGTTTTTTCCTATGTCTATCTAGAATGTCTTTCAGTATTCTTTTCAATGTTGTTTTGGTGGTCATGATGTTCTTCAGCTCTTCTTTGTTGTGGAAGTATCTTATTTCTCCATCCATCTTTAAGGATAGTTTTGCAGGGTGCATCAATCTGGGTTGGAAGTCATTTTCCTTTAGGGTCTTAAATTCTTCACTCCATGCTTTTCTTGACCTCATTGTTTGTGTTGAGAAGTCTGCTGTAATTCTGATAGGCTTTCTTTTATAAGTGATTTGTCTCTTCTCTCTAGCAGCTTTTAATATTCTGTTCTTTTGATGAATTTCTGGGATGTTAGTTATTATATGTCTGGATATAGTTTTATTTTGGTTGTGGTTATTTGGCATTCTATATGCTTCACTGATCTATATTTCAACTTCCATTCTCATTTTTGGGAACTTTTCAGCTATTACTTCTGTAAATAGCCTCTTGATATCATTTATATTATCACTTTTTATTTATCCTTTTCAATCTTATATTGTTTTTCTTGCATCATCTTGCAGTTATTGAATTATTATTTCCTGGTTCCTTGGTTTTTGAAAAGATCTTTCCTTGCCTGTTCATGAACTGCAATCTTATTTTTGAGGTCTGAAATTCTATCTTCACTTTCATTGAGGCAGTTTTGCCACTTTTGATGGAATTTTTCATTTCCTGTATATCTCTTTGAATCTGCTTCAGGTATTCTGTTTGTTTCTTATATTTTTCATTCAGAGTTTCCATATTTTTGCATTGTACCTCTAGTTTTTAAACTATGTCTTCTTTAGATGTGTTTAGCATTTCTTTCATTACATTTATCATTTCTTCTTTTACCTGGGAAACTATTTCTGATTTAAGTTATTTTATAGTTTCCCAGAGTTGTTTCAGTAACAACTGAATATTAGTTGTTTCAGAAGTAAACTTCAGTTGTTATAATTTCAGGAATTTCAGGTCTATGGCTTATATATTCTTCTGTTTTCATGTCTCCTATACTTGCTGGAATTTTGAGATTGCATTTTGATCTTTCATTTTGTCATTTTCCTAATTGTCTGGGTTTTTAGTGCTGTTTCAAAGCTTCCCCCATGAACTGGGAATCACCTAGCCCTATTTTGGCTCCTTGGGCAGACTGCTGGCAACTGCTAGCCACTTGGAGTTCCCAGGACATGGACCAGTTAGGCCTATGTGAACTCCCATATGTCTTCCTGTGATTTAGGACATGATGCATGGCTTCTCTGTGTGCTGGGATCCAACCTGTGCATGTTCAGCACCCAAGACTGAATTCAGGTCCCCAATAGCAGCTTGGCATTCTCTAGACACAGGCCAGTTAAGCTCATGGGGTCCTCCCCCTGCATTCTCCAGTGATTTCAGATATTGGTATTGGTCTTACAACCTGACAGCAATGGCCCAGAGCTTCCCTGTGCAATAGAATTCAACCTGTGCACATTCAGGGCCTAGAACTGAATTCAGGCTCCTACCAGTTGCTTAGAGTTCACTGGGCTGGGACAGTTAGGCCTATGGTGACCTCCTGTGTGTTCTCCAGTGATTTTAGATGTGGGTCATGGTCTTACTGCCTGGGAGCCACATTCCAAGGCTTCCCTGTGTGCTGGGATTCAACCCCTGCATGTTCAGGGAGCAGGACTGAATTGAGGTCATTGTCAGCTGCTTTCATTTCACTGGGAATGGACCAGTTAGTCTAACAGGGACCTCCTGTTCATCCGCCAGTGATTTCAGATGTCGGGCATGGTCTTATCAACTGGGAATGATGTTCCAAGATTCCCTGTGTGCTGAAATTCAACCTGCACATGCTCAGGGGCCTGGCCTGAATTCATGACCCTGGCAGCTGCTAGAACTAAACTTTTAAATGCACCTTGGACATTTTAATTAAACATGAACTTTGCATAAAGCATATTCACAAATGGAGAGACTAAAAAATGGGATTATTTGACACTGATCATTTTTATTCATATATATTTCCCTGAAACTTAGCAAATTAGGTTGGTTTCCTAATATGAGATTGCTCATTAAATGATACACAAGGCAATCATTTATAAAGCTTTGATTTAGATACATAGATCCTCACTGTTTTTAAAAAATAAAGATATACTGTTATGGATATGTTAGATATAAAAGGATAATAAACAATAGCACTGCTAAGTGCTGCTGTTATTCAGGAGTTATTCACTCAGTATTATTTCGGAGCTATTCTCTATACACCTTCCTATGATTTTGTTTCTGGAAAGGAATGGAAAAATGGGATGGGATGGTACCTGCCTGGAATACAGTGGTAGGGAACTGAGGCAAGTGCCTTTTAAATCTGAGCAAAGGCTTGGCAATAAAGTGACTTAAGGATGTCTTATTTCAAGAAAATTAAATTTTATACAGGGAATATATGTGAGTGGAAAGTTTTTATTCCATCCTAAATATTTAAAAAAAAAACATAATCAGGGCTGGAGATTTAGCTCAGCGGCATAAGTGCCTGCCTTGCAAGCAGGCGGTCGTGAGTTCGATCCCTGGTACCGATAAAAAGGAAAAAGACCAAAAAAAAAAAAAAAACCCATAATCAACAAATAGTTATCATGCAATAGGATAGTTCAAGTCCATCATGTTTTGGGTATGGGTCTATGAATAACAAAGAAATCATAAAGCTACATAAATGAAAATATATTTTCTGCTAGATATGAAACAATGTGTAAAGTATCCAAAACATCACTATGTCAATGCTCAGAGAAATCACTGTCTTCAAATATCTGTAACATTTCTGGCTTATGAAGATCCTGTGGGAAAAGCTCTGGCTGGCACTGCCCTGACTCTCACTGTCCTCACAGCTGCTGTCCTTGGGATCTTTGTGAAGCACCAAGACACTCTCATTGTCAAGGCCAACAACCAGGATCTCAGCTACACGCTGCTCATCTCCCTCATCTTCTGTTTCCTCTGTTCCTTTCTCTTCATTGGCCATCCCAGCACAGCCACCTGCATCCTCCAGCAGACCACATTTGGAGTTGTGTTCACTGTGGCTGTTTCCACTGTCTTGTCTAAAACAGTTACTGTGATGCTAGCCTTTAAAGTCACTACTCCAGGCAGAAGGATGAGACAGTTCCTGGTATCAGAGGCACCTAACTACATCACCCCATCTGCACCCTGATCCAACTTACTCTCTGTGCAGCCTGGATGGGGACAAATCCACCCTATGTTGACACAGATGCATATTCTGAACATGGTCACATCATCATCATATGTAACAAGGGCTCCCTCACTGCATTCTACTGTGTCCTGAGATACTTGAGCTCCTTGGCCCTGGTCAGCTTCACTGTGGCTTTTCTGGTGAGGAACCTGCCTGACACATTCAATGAAGCAAAGTTCCTGACATTCAGCATGCTGGTGTTCTGCAGGGTGTGGGTTACCTTCCTTCCTGTATACCACAGCATCAGGGGGAAGGTGATGGTGGCCATGGAGGTCTTCTCCATCTTGGCCTCCAGTGCAGGGCTGTTGGGCTGCATCCTTGTTCCTAAGTGCTACATTATTTTATTAAGGCCAGAGAGAAATTATCTGACTGAAATCAGGGGCAGAACACATTTTGGGAGAAAGAAATAGTTTTATCATTAAACATGTTTGTTTCTTGAAATAGAGTGAACCTGATGTGAATCTGTACCATATTTGAATTCTGATAGTCCACTATATTTTAGGAGTTATATCCATAACAACTGATTCTCTTTTTTCTGGTAGTATAGTAGCTACTGGAAACTATAGTCACCATCTTTATAATTTGAATTTCATTCTAAATATTTTTTCTGTTTCTTTTTTATAATGTAATTCAACTTATTGTTTTTTATTGTGATTATGCTATTTTCTTTAATCTTGTCTTCCCTTTCAGTTTTGCAATGATTTTCTAATTTTAAAAGGTAGGTCAGTGATTTAGCTCAGTGGCTAAGTGCCTGTCCACAAGCACGAGGTTGTGAGTTCAATCCCTGGTAACAAAAAAAAGTCAAAAATTGTTTTCTCTTACTCACAGTGTTTCTCAATCTTGTAATGTATTTTGTTACTTTTTTTCCTTTTGAAAAAGTATGTTGCATTCCAGGTGCAGAATCTGGCAATTTTGATCATTCTATGTATACTTTTCTTTTTACTCTTGCGTTTGTTATGTTAATTACATTGTTTTTTCTATCTTTTTGAGGCAAGTTTCACTAAGGAGTCCAGGCTGGCCTTGAATCATTGTAGCCCACTCTAGCATCAAACTCATTCCTCAGGATCTTAAGTGCTGGGATTACAGGCAAGAAGCACCAACCATGCTAATCATTATATTTTTGAAACATCTGAATCTCACATGGCTTTTAGGATTCTAGAATTGGCTCCTTGACTACAAGTACAAATCTCTTGATTATATGATGCCAATGTACTGAATTTATAGAATGATTTGTGGAAGAACTTGTAGAATTTCAATAGAAACTTCTCCTGTCCCCGATTAGTATTTCCACTTAACTTTGTTTAATCATATTTTACTAATCACATCTATGCATGTGATTATGTACACTTGCATTATAGTAGGTTTGCAGTAAAAATTTCTTGTCATGTTCATACCCAGATATTTTTAAAGGTTTTTTGATAATGTGATGGGGAATGATTTCCCTGCATATTTCCTTTACTATATATCTACATATGAGTTCATACTAATGGTATTTATCTCAATCTGATAAAAGTCATCTATGGTCTTAAGTGAAGTTTAAAAAAAAGGTCTTCTATGAGAAATCCACATTATGCTAAATGGGCAAAAACTGAAAGCTTTCACTCTAAAATCAGGAATAAGACAAAGGTGTCCACTGTCACCATTCTTATTCAATATAGTTCTGAAAACATTAGCAGAGCAATTAGACAAGAAAAATAAAAAGGAAAGGAAGAAGTTAAACTATCATTATTTGTGAGTGACATGATATTCTACACAGATGACCCCCAAAACTCAATTAAAAACCTTTAGATTTAATAATCAAAATCAGTAGCATAACTGGATATAAAGTCGACACTCCAAAATCAACAGCCTGCCTATACACTCCTAACAAACTCACTGAGAGACAAGTTAAATAAAAATACCTTTCACAATAGCATCCAGAAAAATGAAATACATAGGAATCAATCTAATGAGAAAGGTAAAAACCACTACATTGAAAACTATAGTACTCTGAAAAATAAGATTGAAGAGGATATCAGAGAATGGAAAAATATGCCATGCTCTTGGGTAGGAATACCTAACATAGTGAAAATGGTCATACTTCCAAAATTGTTACACAGATTTAATGCAATTCTGATCAAAATTTCAACAGCATATCTCATGGAATTAGAGAAAATAATCCTAAAATTCCTTTGGAACCAGAAGAGACCTAGAATAGCAAAACCCATTTCAGGGCAATAAAGGCAAAGCAAGGGGCATCACAATCTCTTACTTGAAACTCTACTACAAAGCTACTGTGATGAAAACAGCATGGTACTGTCAAAAAACAAAAATAAAAACAATAACAACCACAACTACAAAAACCAGACCTGAAGATTAAAGAAACAGATTTGAGATGTAGAACAACTCCAGACATATTCACTCAGCTATGCTTGAACAGGAGCCAAGCACCTTCATTTGACAAAAGATAGCCTCTTTAAAAATGGTGCTGGTTTTCTACAAAATGAAGATTCAAAGAGACACATATCTTTCATGCATTAACCTAAAATCAACATGGATCAACATATTAAAACAGAAACACTAAATCTGCAGGAAGAAACAATAAATAGAACACTTGAACACATTGATGTAAGTAAAGACTTTAAGATCAAAACTCCAATCAAATGGAACTATTACAAAAAATCAACAACTGGGATCGCATTTTATTACAAAAAAGACTTGCACAGTAAATGAAACCACTAATAGAGTGAAGAGACAACCCACAGAGCAGGAAAAGTGTTTGCTTGGTGTTCCTCAGACAAAAGGCTAATATCTAGAATATGTAAAGAACTGAAAACAATCAGATACCAGCCTCCTCCCCATTTTAAGACCAAATGTAAAAATGGCCATATGCAATGGAGACACTTCTCAGATGGAGTAGAAATGACAAAAAAAATGCATGAAAACATGTTCGACATCACTGATCAGTCAAGACATGCACATTAAAACAATGCTGAGATTCCATCAAAATATTTCTGGAAGTTAATGGCAGTGCCACAACTCCCTCTGAACCTCTGGCGCTCTATGAAAGTAGTCCTAAGAGGGAAGTTGATTGTAATTAACTGTTCCTTTAAGAAAACTAAATGGACTCAAATAAAAGGCATCATAAGAAACTTTAAGATATTCAAGAAATAACACCAATCTGGGCCCAAACCAACACTAAGAAGGGAAATCACAAGGTTTAGACTGAAAATCAACAAAATTGAAATTAAAAACAATACAAAGAATCAACAAACAGAAAAGCTGTTTTTTTCAGAAGAATAAACAAAATAAACTCTTGGCCAAACTTATCATGAGAAAGAGAGTAAAAGCTCACATCAATGTAATTAGAGGGGAAATCTCAATCCACTCTTTGGAAATTCAGAAGATAGTAGCTATTATGAAACATTGCATTCCAATAAAGTGGAAAAATAGGAAGAAATAACACTTTCCTAGTACAAGTTGCCAAAGCTAACCCAAGACGGTACAAAAATATTTATCCTCATAACAAGCAAACAACTGAGAAAGTAAAAGAGTCTACCAACTACAAACTGCCCAGCCCCTGATGGACTGACTGCTGAATTCTACACGATGTTAAGGATGTTACCTCACCTATACTACCAAAGCCTTCAAAAAGGTAAGTCATATAGGGTTGCAGCCCCTGGACTCAGGCTGTGTTTCCCAATTGCTGCACCATGGTCAGAAACAAACCCTCAGTGCGCTGTCAGCACTCCTCACAGCCTGTCTTCCCATTGGCCACGCCCCACCCTCCATGAATTTGGTGACTCTGGTGGTCACTTCAGGGCCCCACTTGGGGCTCTGCCCTATCCTTCTCCTGCCCCAAACCAGAACTCCAAGAACCCCATATCCAAGGACCTCAGTCGAGAAGAGGCTAGAGCACAATAGATCTAGGAAAAGGGAGAAAGGGGTAGAATGTGGTTAGTCCCAACCCCTGTTCACTGTCATCACCTGTATACTGATTTTCATACCTGGTCCCCTAAGGTATGTTTTCCCCCTTCCCATTGTCCCATAGACGATGTGATATGGGGATTTATCATTTTCATAAACATCACTGATTTTCCGTTCCACAGTTGAGAGTATTTTCACTAAATAAATAGCATTAGTGCTCTTGTAGAAGAAGAAAAAGATTTAAAATAGCAGTTATCCTGGTCCAGTCACTGTTGGTGATTTTTACACATCTTCAGAAGTGAGTTTTAGGGGACCAGGCTGCTGGGAGTTCCACTGGCAGTAGCGGTTGATAGGGGGTGATGATTCAGGTGAGAAAAGTGTCAGGTGCTGGTTTAGAATTCTGCATTTGGAAACTATGGGTATGGTAGCTCAGTGGCGGAGTGTTTGACAAGGTTGTATGAAGCCTTGGGTTTGATCCCCAGCACTAAAAAAAACAGAGAAAGAGAGAAGGAGAGAAGACAGGAAGGAACATTTTATGTACACTTGCACCATTCAAATGAATTTTTTTTGTGTGTGAATTCAGTAGGGCCTAGTGGAAACATTCTGCAAATGGCAGTTGCTATTTGATTCTCCTCAGTCAGGGAAGCCACACCAGTGAGAACAGCTACTCATTTTCAGGCTTCTGAAAGCCCCTCAGTGTGTGAAAGGAGAACTCTGGGCCCCAGGATTAGGAGAAGAACCTTTGAGTTCTCTTTTCCACTAGCTTACTGGATGACATCAGAAAAATCACTTCATGGGCCTGAATGTCTTTCGAACTTTATCTTTAGCTGCACCACTTGAGTCCCAGTGGTCCCTTACGGGGAACTCTGATTTTAAAATGATCATAAAGGCAGGGTCCATGTGGCACCTAGTGTCTTTGAGGAGCAGCGTCCAGCATCCTAAGGCTGTCCCAGGTCCCATTCTGGACAGTCATTTGCTGAGCTGCAGGCAGAGCAAGGTCATGGGGGATCAGTCTACCTGTGTTTTGAGCTTTGGACATCTGCAATGCGAGCCTGTGGCCTGGAGCCTGGGGGAGCCACATCCTCACTCCCAGTGTCGCCCAGCATGCGTGATTGTCTCCTGACTGCTGCAGCCCTGTTACGTGCTCTGTTCCCTTGTGACTATGGTACTTAGGTATCTTCTGTCCTTCATGTCCCCCTTAAACCTGCCTCCTTCTGTGACAGGCTTGAAGACCTCTCTGCTCCTGCACTTCCTTCTGCTGATGACACTGTGTCACGTGGTGGTGTCCCTTCCCCAGGAGCTGCTCTCACTGGTGGCATCACCTCAGGTTTGTGCCTTTTTTTTTTTGCCTATTGTCTTCCTTTATGCCCCCCATCCCCCTTCCAAAGAGCTGTGCCCTCCACAGTTTTCTTTCCTCTCTCTGGGCAGCTTGGTGCCTAGAACCATGTGTGTTCTCCCTGGGGACTGAGATGAGGCCACAATGAGGCTTGTCACTGTGGTGTGGCAAGATGGCTGACCTTACCCGGGTGATTCTTACAGGAGGGCAAATCACTGCCTCATAATTGTCTGTTTGGATGAACCAAACCATGCTGCCAGTGACTCCAATCCCACTGATAGAAGCAAGTGAGCCTTTCCTACTGGGCCAGCAGTCATTAGGTTAAAGAGTCAGTGCAGATCACTGCCCATGAGCCTGTGTTCTGTCCCTGCATTTATGGGCTTACTCAGGAAGCAGCAAGTCATCCCTAGCCACATGCCAGGCTCTTCCACAGATGGCGCTCAAGAGCCAGGAGGCCCAGTGTCTGCAGCAACAGTGAAACCAGCTCCTGTCCCACTTGTGGCAGCATGCAGAGGCCTGGTGTCAGCTGATCTCTCAGAAAGACACACAGCTCAAGTTCTGTTGCATACAACAGCTCATGGTGCAGCTGCTGTGTGAGGAGAATCAGGCAAGAGGAGACCCAGGTAATGGAGCTGTCCAGGTTCCTGCATGGGAGGACTTGGCCACCTCCGTGTCTTTTCCATATTCTCATCCTACCCACCACAGCATCTGGAAGCCACCAAGCAGCAGAAGCAGCAGTCATCCCCGCTGAGCCTGCTCCTTCTGTGTTGGCAAGGTAAGTGGAGGTGCCTGAGGGCAGAATGGAGCCTCAGGAGGACTTTTGGTGACAGAGGCCTTTATAGTGCTGGGGTGGTCATTGTCTCTCAAGAGGACACATCAGGGTCAAGGTGGAGAGGGTCTGGTACTTGTTGACCATAGATCATTCTGGAAACTCCCAATAGAAGATGAAGGGGACAAAGAGGACAGGCATGTTCAATATGGACCAGTGTGACCATTCCTGGGATAGCCTAGATGCCAGGGTGAGTTGCACTGGTCTTTGTCTTTTCTCTGTGCTACCTTATGGTCCCTTTGGACACCCAAATACCTTCCCCACCCTCTGATTTCCCTGGACCCCATGCCTTCCCTGCGAGGCAGCAATCAGACAACTTCCCCTTTGGAACAACAGATGCTAGCAACAGACAGGGAGCTTCTTTGTGCCCTTTGCTCCAGCTTGTTTTGAGCAGTCCTCCCACAAAATCACACTCTGCTTCCTTCAGGCAGCATTATTAATGAAGATTTTGCCAGTGCCCAGGAAACACTCACTTGACAGCATCAGCAGCTGAGGGAACAGAAGCAGCCATGCCAGTGCCTGGCTTGCCTGGCAACCCTGACCCAGGGTGAGCCTGAGGAGGTGCTGGCTCCAGCAGAGAGGATGACTGCCTGTCTGGGCAAAGCCACCAGGTCAGAAATCAGGCCATGGCAAAGCTGATGGTGAGTGCATCTGCCCTGCTGGGCTGGGGAGAGAAGGTGGGAGGGGGACCGTCTGGCTCCATTTGGCAGTCATGCAGAAGATGGAGCTCAAGGAGCAGCTGGAGGAACTGGAACGTTGTTACCTACAGCTCTCTGGGACCACATGTGCCTTCAGTGGGCTGGGCCAGGGTTCCCAACAGCAGAAGCTGTGAAGTGTGGGGATCAGGGAGCCCTGCGATTCCAGCCCACTGTCCCCCTCCCCACAGCAGAAGACATTGTAAAAAGTGTCTGCTCTCTTGCAGCAGGGCTGAGTGGCATCTTCTATGCCTGTTGCCTGGATGCCGCTCTGAGATCACAAGGACAGTGCCATGTGTACTCCGAGGGCATCTTACCACAATGGGCCACAGACTTCAGTCCAATCTAATAGGGAGTGAACGTGGGGTACAGTCCCTGAGGTTGCTGACCTTGGGCCAGTTATTCCTGTCAGATCCTGCACAGGTCCCTCTGTATTTCCATGCCCATGGGCTGGCATTGGTGATCCTGTTCCCTAGTGGTCAGAATTTTTGGTACTGTTTTTGTAGTTATTTTATGGGTAATTGCATGAAGTTCATGTCACATCGTGGTACAGCAGAGCACATCTTTGTTCTCTACAATAGGGGATGACTACAGGGTTCGACATGAAAGCTGGTGTCCTAGAGAAGCTTAGGAAGACCCTGGACGGACCCTGTGAATTCTATCACAAGGATTGGGGACAAATCAGGAACAGAGTCATTTGAGAGACCATCCTTCACCAAGATGCTTGTGGACATCTGCCAATTTGCACTCACATATCTGTATCTCCTGTGCTAATCTGTCTTGTGAACCTCCCTTTTAGCAATTGTGCTGTCAGTTAATTTGCAGCTACAAACCTAGGTAGTGGCATTAAAAAAAGTTATCCTGCATAGTCTGATTTTACTTTGAAGAAATGTAGATCATTGGATCATTCAACGCTTGCCATGGCTTGACCTCACTTGGAATTTTTGTTGTTGTTCTTTTTTTTAGTACTTTCCTTATTAAGGCAAGATTGTGTTCATGTGTGTACAGTAGTCCAAATGACAGAAAACTATACACAAGATCAAAGTCTCCTTGATTTCCATTTTCCCAGGCCTATATTTGTTACCTTTACTTTTGTATTTTATTATTATTAGCTCTCAATAGTTTCCATATAGTTTTACATTTAATGTATTAATATGAACAACTGTTTTGCTGGCTTTCATAAATGTTTTATTTCTCATAGCACAGTACCCTTTTCTCCTTGCCACTTTGTGAAATGTGCTCTGTGTTAATTTAAATTTAGCAATATTCATAGAAGGAGGGGAGCCTGATTAGACAACAGTATGGGACTATGGAAGAGACGACAATAAAATGAAGGGTAATTGTGGGGCTAGATATCATCAAAATATGCGACATACATGGATGAAAGTAACACATTCAAACCCAATATTTTGTAAAAGTGTATGTAACTAATAAAAACTTTATGAAATACCAATCTCTGCTGAATTTCCTTATTGTTTGTTGTGCTCCAGTGAATAGCAGTAACTACTTGTTATTTTTGAGAAACATTTCAATTAGAAGTCTTGCCCCTGGCTGATTCCTATAGGAGGTTGACTCATCCCTCCCATATTCCTTTCTAAACAGCACTCTGACTCTGCCAGTGGGCCCAGGCTCATGACTGTAAGCAAGTGATATCTCCTACTGGGGCATCAGTAGGAGTGATCTGGGCAGGATATTACCTGTGATAGTCTTCCCCATCCATCTATAATGGTAATTTTATAGCAAGAAATTTAAAAAATCAATCAGCAGCCTATTACTGTGTTAAGACAAGATGTGCTCACCCTGCCTGTCACATAATTAGACTGCTGAACCTGGTCAGTCTTGACCATCTATGTACAGCTGCTTTTCATAGATATCCTGGGTCACATCAGCCTGTCCCACTACCAGCTGCAAGGACTATATTTTCTCACTTAAGAATATAGCCTGTTTCTCTAATGTGCTTCACAGACTTTCTATCCGAGACAAAATAACCCAAAGACACACTTAACTCTGTGCACTCTGCTCACACCTCCTTTTCCATAACAATTTCCTTTAGTTAGTGCTGCCTGACAATGTATGACTTAGTGCATGTAACTAATTATATGATAACCTCCTATCAGCTTTTGTACTGCCTGCTTACAAAATGTATATGAATTCCTGCTTGACTCTCAGTCAGGGCTGGTGATTTGCAACTGATGCCTACCAGCCTGCTAACATAATAAATCATTGTCTTCCAAACTCCGTGGTGCAGAGCGCCTTCCTTTCAATTCACTACTGGGTTTCTGCAAAACATCTACACACACCCTTCCTTTAGTTACTTTTATGGTTGCTGAGTCAAAATATCCACCAGCCTTAAGTTGAAAGCTCATAGTTTGTAGAGCTTTTGTGGTCCATAATCAGCTGGCTCCAAGGCACGGTGCAATGACAGAGGGGGCATCACAGAGGAGAACAATCCATGGCATGGAAGCAAGCAGTAAGCAGCAAGCAAAAAGCAGCAGCAATCCCCTTTTATATCCCATCCAGGCTACAAACAACTTGATTGAATCTTCTCATCTCCCACACCCAAAATTATGATTCAGTGCCACACACTTAATCCCAGAATCATACACCCTAGGTCAGTGATGGCAAATGCTTTAGAGATGCTTGCCCAAAGTGTAACCTAAAACACATTCATTCGTTTATTTCAAAGTTCCCACTCTGCAATTAAACCTGAACACTGAGGTTTTAGTTTAGAAAAAACAATTTATACATTAAATTGTTTATTTATACATTCTTTCATTGTAAAAGAAAAACAACACATATGAGTTAGGTTTGCTACCACTGGGCTAGATCCAGCCTCCTCTGAAATCCTGCACATATGACTGCATGAGATTTTTGCGAACCATCTAGATTCAAATCCTAACCCTGATCCCATGTCTCTCGGGTTCAGTGATGTTTAAAGTTAGGTTTAGGTTTAGGGTTAGGTTTTGGATTAGGTTAACAGAGTTAGTGATTGGTCTAGGGAAAAGGATAGGGCTATTCCAGCACCAGGTTTAGGATAAGATCGGTTCACTATGGTTTGTGATAGAATTAGTTTTATGGTTATATGTAATTTTCAGGAGTAACATTAATAATAGGTCTAGGGATATGGGAAGAACAAGGGTGAAGGGTAGGGCAAGGAATAGGCCGGAGGTTTCAGAAGTTTTAGGGTTAAAGACAGGGATCCACCAGCTGAGGGTTAGTGCTAGAGTTGTTTTGTGTTAGTTAGAATTAGGTTTCAGGTTAGGTTCAGAATAGAAGTCGAGGTTAAGTTTAAGGTTCATATCAGGACTAGGATTAGGATTAGGACTAGGACTAGGTTTCCCCATGATTAGGTTTAAGGTTAATGTTACATTTAGGTTTAGGACTAGTGGTAGGGCTAGGGTAGGAGCTACGCCTAAGGGTACGCTTAGGGTTACTATTAGATTTAGGGCTACTGTTACAATTAAGGATAAGTGTATATTTAGGGTTAAATTTACAGGTAGCTTTATGGTTACATTTAGGGATATGTCTATAGCTAGGGCTGTGGTTAGGGCTAATTCTAAGTTGAAGTTAGGTTTAGGGCTATGGTTTTGATAAGTTCAGGAGTAATCCCATCACTCCCCCAATCCTTGGGAGCTCAGCTGTAGCTCCATGTATCTTCCCTTTGGAGTCTGGTCAATCGCCTTTACCTTTCACTTATCAGGCCTATGGCCTTTCCCAGGACACTCTTGCTCTAGGCGGATGCAATGCAGAGGCCAGGTGTTCACCATCTGAGGGAGAGGGCTGGGGACCTCACACACAAGGCCATTGAACTGTCTAAGGAGGTTCTCAATCTGGAGGACACATGGCCAGTAGGGGAGGGGCTGAGGTAAGTGCCAGCTGAGCTACTTCTGGGCTCAGACAGCCAAAGATACTTCTCTGTGTCCCTGGTCCAACCACTCTGCCTTATCTCAGTCTCTTCAGATACACTTGCATGCACACACACACACACACACACACACACACACACACACATACACAAACAGGCATTTATATATGCAAATAGAGAAATACAAACATGCACAATCATTCTTACACATAAATGTTCAAACAGGTACATGCAGGCACATGCACATCCTCAAGCTTTCATTCTGTGGAGCGGGGAGATGGAGGTCTTGTTCTATTGCCCAGATTAGTCTGGAACTCAAAATATGCCTATATCTGTCTCCAGAAGTAGCTGAGATTTTGGGAATTCACCACCCATTGCCCAGCTTCATGGGCTACTTTGGGGAAAGTGGCATCACCTGGGTCACTATTAGCAATTCACTCCTCCTGTTGCTCAACTTTATACTTCCTGGAATTTGAGGCATCAGATGCAGTCTGAAGCTGGCTCTTCTTTGGGGTTTTGTCACTGCTATGGGTAATTGTGGTTGAAAGGTGATGGCTGATTTGCAAGCAATTTTGGGAGCTCTTGTTTCAAGATGGGAAGAGCCTGGTGTTGGACAAAGCTGTCTAAGAAAGCCTGTGTTTGTGAAGCTTACATTTTTCTGTAGGTTCTGTGGGATTATTTACAGATTGTTCAAGCTGGGCTATTCATTGGACAACAGATGGAAGGGCTTGAGCAGCTGTGGTTTCCTGGGATGATCTTTTTTGAACACTGTGCTAGGAGTCAGGGAGCAGGCAGGTTCCTCATGGTGGAGTCAGATTGGTAGAGGCCTTGTTAGAGGACGTACCTGATTAGTAGAGATATAGATTGTCTCAGGGAAGATCAAATTGTTCACACTGGTTACTTTTGGGGAAGGGACCTGAGCTGCTGGGAGCAGGGACTTTGCACTGAGAGGGACAGGGCTTTAAGAGTTCCCCAGTGGGAGCACTTAGAAGTGGTAGGGCTCAAGGGGTGTCAGTAGACGAAGGAAACGAATTAAGCTGGTCTGAGCCTGGCATTTGGCCTTGGATCTTCTCCAAGGTAAGGTTGTAGATATGGGATGCAGAAGAGGCCTTTCCCATCTTCAGCCATGTGATATGTCAGCCCAGGGAGGATTCTTTTATCTGCCTGATAGTGTCTCATCATGGCTTTTCCCTTGGGCAGAGGTCAGGCCCTGTGTGGGAGGAGAATAGGGAAGTTCCACTTCCTGAATTTATGGATTTATTTTTCCCTTTGGAGAAAGAAAGCCACTTGCTCAAGGAGTTTTGACTGGTTTTGTTGTCTTTATGAGACACGATCTCTTATGCAGTTCTGGCTGACCTTGAGCTCACTTATGTAGTCCAGGCTATCCTTGAACTCACAATGATCCTTCTACCTCAGTCTCTCGAGTGCTGGGATTACAAGCATGCACCACCATGTGCAGATTCCAAGGAGTTTTGGACCCATTCAACTCTTCTTCCCTTTGAGAGATGCAGGTCTAAGTTAACGCAGCAGGACTCCAATGCAAGCCCTCCTTGGTTGATAATCAAGCTCTGGGAGGGTCAGGGAGAAGATCTGGTGTTTGCTGACAGCAATTAGAGAAAATGGGGTGGGGAGAGAGATACAGAGGAGGAGCTGCAAACAAATCAATTCACTCTAAGTTTACCAAGTTCTAAAGTGGCAATAAATTGTGGTCACTGTGGTCACTTTGGCAAATAAGGAACAATGAGGTTTGCCTAGAGATGGGGAGGAAGGAGGCAGGGTTTTGGAAGAATGTAGGATGGGCAGGTTCAGCTTGGGTCACAGGGAGCCTGAGCAGTCAAGTTGAGAGAGTTTGTCTAAGAATTTATGGCCAGTGGGTGTAACAGGACCAGAGAACTGATTTAGGTATCTTGTGTGAGTACAGGAAGTGAACAGGAATTTAAAAAATTTTTCATGTTTTTTGGGGGGAGGATTAGTGTGGTGGCTAATCTCACAGGTCAGCTTGACTCAGCTAAGAGATGGCCAGGTAGCTGGTGAAACAGCTTTTGTGGATGTGCCTATGTGAGGGCTGCCAGGAGAAATTAGTATTTGAATAGGTAGACTGAGGGCCACCTCACCATCATGGGTGGGCATCATCCAGGCTGTTGTTGACCTGAATCCAACAGAAAGGCAGAGACAGGACAAACGTGCTTCCTCTTTTAGAGCTGCTCCTCTGTCTTCTCCTGCCCTCGGCCAGCAGCAACCCTGGATCTCAGGCTTTCACCCTGGACTGAATAGCATACCAGCTGTCCTGGGCCTCTGGCTTCTCAGCCTGTACTATCAAGGGAGCCAAACCCTCATTATAACTCTCCTTCTGTATATCTCAGACCCCATATTCTTTGTATTTCTCTGGAAAGTGCTAAGACAAATAGAAATTATAGCTGGCTAAGGTGGTGCACCCCTGTGACGGCAGCATTCTGGGAAACAAAGCATGCTGGCAAGTTTGAGCCAAGCCTGGGAATTTTAGTGACTTAGAGGGCCTCCATCTCAAAATTTAAAAAATTGAAAAGAGGCTGGGGTTGAAGCTCAGTGTGAAGCCACTGCACTCAGTC